CTATGACCTCAATGTGAACCAACTCCGATTTTTGACACAAAATATGTGTCCATCTCTGCCTCAGAGCCACACTCGGACCTTAATCCACTATGACCTCAATGTGAACCAGCTCCAACTTTTAACACAGAGTATGTCCTCATCTATGTCTCAGGGCCAGGCTCGAGCCCTAATTCCATGTTCTCTCCAAAACCCACCACCTTCTTCCCTATCCTGGATTAGGGCCTGTACAACAACTGTTCCTACAACCCAGCTAAAGGCACAGTATTTCATCTCAAAGGAAAATAAGTACCTGGAATGGCCCTTGCAGAAGCTACTGAAACAGAGGATGGTTTGCATTTCCATGCTCCAAAAAGCTCGGGAAGCCACTAGCAAACCAACTCTTGACCTTCCACTAGGAAGCCAGGCCTCCCAGACTCCCAAATTAGCTGCCATCTTTCCTGAGTATTCTAAGAACCAGGTGCAGGAGAAGCAGGTGCCCACACAGCCCTCAGCACCTTCTTGTAAAGGAAGCAGAAGTGTGCAGGAGACAAACCCCTGGTGCTCTGACAGCCTTTTAAAGAAAGGCTTGAGTATCTTCCAACTAAAAGATTCAAGTGATGCTCTACAGCAAGAGCCAGAAGATCAAATGCAAAGTTTAGGAATAACCTCCCAGAAAGTTCAAGGGGATGATAGCAAGTATTCAGAAAGTAACTTCAAGAAGCCTGGGAAGGGTGATGCAGGAAGTCACTGTTTTAGGAATTCATACAAAAAACATCCGGGAAAGCACCTGCAAGAACATCTGGTCAGGAAGTTGGGGCAAATGCATGAGGGCCTAGTCCCTGTTTGTGTACGAAAATCTTGGCTTTACTCCACTAACAACTTGCCTGTGTTTAACACCTACACACAATCCAGACACCTAGCATATGCCAAGGGCCAGGAAACCCATGTGGAAACCTCTCAGGAGCTTCCCTTCTTCAATCCAAAAACTTGCCTGTTACATGAAGCACATATTAAAAGATCTTGGTTAAGGCGCAGGTGGAGGCAATACTTACAGGCTCCCCCACCCATAAATATCCACATAGGTGAGAGGGTAGCCTCACACTTTCCACTGCCCACTTTTACTTCTTTGACCTCCTCAGGCTCCAACTTAATTGCTGAAGTTGAAACTATTCTTGACCAATATCCTCAGAACTTTACTGCTGAGGGTGAAACTATCCTTAACAAATATCCTCAGAAAGTTCCAGAACAGGAGGAGGTAACACAAATCTCACTCAACACCCCACAGAGTCCTCTTCCTGCCTCGCCAGGTGCACATGACAAAATGCAGAGCCCCTGCAGTGAGATCCTAGCTTGTCACCACTGTTGGCCCTCAGAGGCCCTACCAACTACGCAGAATGGTGACCATCGTTCTCCCTGCTGCATCAACAGGCTCCTGGACAGAATCTGTCAAGGCAGTACTGCCTTGGGCCTCAGAAAAGAGAGACTGGGTTCCAGTCCAAGTTCAACAATGGCCAGGTTTGAGCCACAGAAAAACAACTGTGCTGTGCCCTCAGGAGAAACTTGCCATAATATGGTAACACAAGAGGTCAAAGTAGGGTGCCAGCTGTCAATGGCCAAGATGTCTGGTCCAACCAAGAAGAGAGTGGACTATGGTAGGCCTAAGGAAAAAGAGCAGGAAGAGAAATATGGGGGAGAGAGGCCTTCCCATGACTTTGAGCTTAACCCTCCTGCCAAGGTCAGAGAAACAGACACTAGAGTGAGGAAGTTTTTCCTACACCTGTCAAAGAAGAAACAGGCTGTTCCACCCACCAAAGGGGAGAAGAAGATGAAGTTTCTACAGTTTCTTAAACCTAAAAAAAAAAGTAAAAGTAAAGGGCAAGAAAACTCATTGCAAGAAGCTAAGCTCCCATCAACTACAAACCAGCAGGAAGAGTCAAACAGAAGCCAGTTGTTCATGGACAGTAAGGAGGCTGAAGTCCAGGCACTCATGACAGTTGTTGGGCAGATCCTGGTGGACAAGCTAGGGGGTTGCCATGGAAGTGGTTCACCAGAGGTGCACCGGTGTGAACCTGTTACTGATCAGCAGGAGGAATCAAACACAAACCAGTTATTTGTGGAGAGTACAGTGGCTGAGGTCCAAGAGATTTTGAGAATTGTTGGACAGATCCTGGTGGGCAAGCTAGGGGGTTGTCATGGAAGTGGTCCACCAGAGGTACACTGTCCTGAGCCTGTTACTGACAAGCAGAAGTCAAATGTAAGCCAATTTTTCAGGGAGAATAGAGTGGCTGAGGTCCAGGCAATCATAGTAATTGTTGGGCAGATCCTGGTGGACAAGCTAGGTGGTTGCTATGAAAGTGCTCAACCAGAGGTGCACTGGCGTAAACCTGTTACTGACCAGTGGGAGGAGTCAAACATAAGCCAGCTGTTCGTGGAGAATAGGGTGGCTGAGGTCCAAGCGATTATGGCAATTGTTGGACAGATCCTGGTGGACAAGCTAGGGTGTTGCCAGGGAAGTGGTCCATCAAAGTTACACCGGCAGAAACCTGTGTGTAAGTGTTCCTGCTATGACAGAATTAACTCCAACCCAGACAAAAGGAGAGAGATGAGAGAGATGGCTAGTGGTCGCCAAGCCAGAACCAAGGACCACAGCCATACTACCGGCAATGGGGACTGCAACCAGGCCTTGGTGAATGCAGAGACAGCAACTCCCACCACTTGCTGTTAGTGTAGGCAGGAAGAACAGGTGCCTTAGGCCATCTTTACAATCACTCTGTATGCTGTCTTCAAAGAGGTGCCGTATCAGGCCAACCAGATAAATTTACCCACACCATAACTTGTAAGAAAATATGTTCTGCAAAACATTGAATACATATAAATTGTGTCTCCTGTGAGCACATCTTTTGTGCCAATGACTTTTCCTCCTGAAATATCTATTACTTTCTAATATATATTTTTCTCATTATATGTGGTGGCTTTTGTTTTTCTCCTACTGGCGCATGGGGAAGGGGTCAGCCTCAGCTCTTCTTCAGAAGAGCTTCTAGAAGGGACTGGGCCTGCAGGGAGAGGACAATGGCATTGAGGACACACTCACATCCTCACTTCCCTCCCTGCCCTTCAATGTCTACCTCTGTCATTACAGAAACCAATAACAAAAAAGCCCCGTACCTTCACATTCAGCAGTGTGGGCTCAGGAATGTAGGCAGGGGTGTGTGGTGGTCCTGGGTTCCGAAGTGATAGAACTTGCCCCCCTCAGGTTTCTTGATGGATAAAAGTAATGTCTGCCCTGAAATCCCTTGCTCTGCCTGATGGAGGTTACATGCAAATGCCCGCCCCCCCGGCACTTTTACATTAGTCTTGATGACATAGCAGTGTCACCACCCTGCCCCTGCCATACTTGCTCTCTAGAGCTGCAGCCAGAGTGGAAGTTGCAGGTCTGCATGCACTACAGCTGCTAAGGGCCACATCAGCCCTGCCTAAGGTCACCAGCCTTTCCTCTGGGCTTGGCTCTGTGTGTGGGAACCATCCCACGATGGGTCAGGGTGGGCACAGGGTGGGGAGTAAGAAAATAATTACAAAAGTTTTAGCAGGAAAGTAGGCATAGTGGTATGTTGGTGCCATAAATATTGCAGAACTTGGAAAGTTCATGTTCAAACAGTGCCATCACCAGCCTGGAGGAAGGTAGACCTAACAGGCTGAGCTGCTTACCCAATGCTCATCCTTGCTCTCTCCCTACTATTGCTGCCAACACATACGCCTGGAGAAGCCCCATTAGGTCCAATGCAGATCCAAGAGGAAGCAAAACCTCAAGCAGGGAAGATTACTCTCTTAACAGCATATTTCATAAGTCTGCATGTCATCATCTCTTGCATTCCAAACAGGACCAATCGGCAACTTCTGGAAAAGTCAGGGCCAGGGAATTCTAAACGTGACTTACAGCCTGGTAGTCATTACACATCCATGTGACCCCAACACTTTTCCCAGGGAAGAGGTGGCGATTTAAAATGACCAGTAGATTGGCCTGGATCACAAAGCAAACTCCTGGCTCTAGTACAGACTTGTCCTACAGGCCGTCAGGTTAAGAAGCAATCAGACAGGATTTGTAAACACATGGGAAGTGACCTATCCACAATTCAGAAGCTTAGTAGTCTAGGGGACAGCCCCCAAATGGTAGCTACTGCATCTCATTCTGCTTCCAGCCCAGGTTTCCTCTCCCCAGAGCCCATCTACATGGGAATGCAGGAGGTTCTCAGACAGAGAGAGAGAGGAATGTGTTGCTCTTCTCCTGGGTGCTGTGATCAATTACCAGAGAAAAACAACTGAGGAGAAAGGGTTTATTTGGTTCATGATTTCATAGGTGTCCATGATCTGCTGGGCCTAAACATCATGGTAAGACAGCTTAGTAGAGGAGAACTGCCCACCTCATGGCTGCTGGGAATCAGAGAAAGTGAAGAGCATGAGGGAAGAGGTCTAGTGCCCTCACTGTCCAAATCACCACTCTAGGCATTGCTTAACCCATTTATGCTGAGAGCCACGATTAAATGTCACAAGGAGCCATTTCTCCAGTGTCCCATGCCATGCCCCTCAGGTCGTGGGTTGTGGACCTCAGTCCAGGGGTCTCAATTTGTGTCCTGGCAGAGTCTCCCAATAGGAAGTACCACTGAGGCAGATCACATGGTCATGGGCCAGGCCCCCATATATGGCATGAGCCCCCAGATCTGTCTTGATAAAGGTTCTGTCTCACCTGAAGTCCTTGTCAGCTTCCAGGGTGGACCAGCAACAAGAGCAGAATGAGGAACCTTAGCCAGGTATTTATGGGTTCCAAAAGGCAAATTCAGATTGAGGAAACTGGATGTGAACCCCAGGACTGCAGAGGGGACGAGTTCCACAGAGGGCAGTGTTGATAGGAACAAAATAGAGCAAGTATCTGTCCCTTCTGCTGCCACCAGCCTAGTCCTCCATGAGGGGTACAGGGCCAGCACCAGAGAGAATCTATGAAGTCCTCCATGGAGACCCCCGCACAGGTCTCCTTAGATGTCCACACTTCAATCCCCCACTGAGATCTCCACGGGAGTCCCCAACAGAGACCACACTAATTTACCCCAGGAGTCCTCCCCTGACACTCCAGAGAGACTGCTACAGAGGGTTCTACAAAATCTCTAAGATTACTGAGGCATGAAGGTTTGATAGGAAGCATAAAAGCAGAAATATGACCCAGTACACTATTCCCTTATGAGTGCAATTTAGTTGAATGGAAGATTCACAGCCAAAATTTCCTGAGTAGTGTACGCACAGTCCTGACACTGACTTATTCAGCGCCCTTGGCAAACTGCCAGGCCACTATGATTTCATTTCCTCTTCTGCAAAATGAACAGAATGCTTACCTACAGCCCAGATGTTGGCAGACTTAATTAACATCACTGTCTGTGTAAAAATGAAATGCTGTTTAACCAATAAATGCCAAGTAATCCAAAATTTTAATTCCCACTTTGGCAGGAGCCGTAGAAAAGAAAAAGAACATCAAATCACTAAGAGTTGGTCCTATTAGGGATTCTTGAGTCTTTGGAGTTTATTAAAATTGAGCAGTGGCAATTGTAATTATCAAAAAAATCACATAGGAATGCCTTTCTGCATACAGTTCACCAAATTTTACATAAATTTCACTTGTCAAAGATTTTATTGCAGTGATCCAGGTGCAGTGGCACATGCTTGTAACTCCAGCTCCTCAGGAGGCCCAGGCAAGAGGAGAGAAAGTTTGATGCTAGCCCGGCAACTTTCTGAGTCCCTGATTCGAAATAAAAGAGAAAAAGTGCTGGGGGTGTAGAGCACCCCTGAGTCCTGTCTTCAGTACCACACACAAAAACGCACAGCTGAGTATTAATGCCAGGTGCCTTACAGGGAGTCCTAATGAGGGTAAAGTCATGAGTTTTGCCCACAATGAACTTGTTATCCTATGATGTTTCCAGGCTATAAATACATCTACACCTTCAGCCAGGCATCTCTGGAGCATGTTGTGAATCATGGGGACATTTTAAAGCTCACTAGATCTACATGACTATTTCTGAGAAAATAGCTTAATGTTTCAGTTTGCCTTATCACCTTATATCTAGCAACATATGCAATTAATCATAAATTTCTTCATTTGTTTTAGTAAACATTTATTAGGTGTCTAGTATGTGTGAGGTTCTGTCATAAGCAAGCATTAGGGCTTGGTGAGCAAGATGAAAACAGTCCTTGGAACCATAAGCCATAGTCTACAGTGGAATACAGAAATTAAAAAAGTCTTTATAATCAGCTGTTAGATCATCGTGATGGAGAAATTTCAGAGAGACCTAATATTTTATAGAAACCAGTGAATATCTCTCTAAGGAGATGAATTTCAGCTTTGATTTTATGGTGGAGAGCAGTGTGGTCCAAGCAGAAAAAGTAGCATGTACATTGAGCTATGAAAAAGAGAGAAGGCATTAAGTCCAATTTGGGTAGCTCTCCTGGTGAAGGAATAGGAGAATGGAAGAAGAACCTTAGCCTATGGAAATTGGGAAGTTAGTGAAAGACTTTATGCCAGGATGGGAAATGACTAGATTCATCTCTTTTTAAAATCACTCTAACTAAAATTCTGAGACTGGATAGAAGGAGAGAACTAAAGTTGCATGTCTAAGTAAGTAGCTCACATAAACCTTTCCATCAGGGTTAGTGGTGGGTAGGCTGAGGGCAGTAGCAGAGACAGTGTAGAGAAACATTGACCTGACAGCGATCTGGGAAACAGAACTAGCTGATATAGAACCTTAGTGGACATTTTAGGCAGGGCATGAAGGGAAAGTGTGAGAAGGAAGAGGAGGATTCTATGAATACTGTCAGGTCGAGAGTCTAAATCCGGGATAGTGAAAATACAAACCCAGCAAAGGGACTTCAATGCCAGATGGCCTCGGTGAGAAGATGAGTTTGGTTTCAAACTCATTAAGTGTGCAGTCCTTGAAAGGCATCCTGCTGGAGATATGTGAGAGGTAAATTGACACCCAGATCATTGGGGCCTTCAAGGTGGAGGTAGCCTGAAGAGTGTTCAATATGCAGATTTGAACTTATGCCTAAAGAGTGAATGACATTGCACAAGGAACAGGTGCTCAGCGAGAGGAATGTAAGGTCCTAGGGAGAAATGGAGAGGTATCAATAGTTAATGAAAGAGGAAATGGGACCTATACAAGAGATAGAACAGGTGGTGAAAGGAGAAACCAGGAGAGTCGCCACCAGAGAAACGGAGTGTGAGAAGCAGTTCTCTCATACCCTGCTGGCGAGATAATATCTATGGCAGGTGATCAGTCAGTAGCTGTCAAAATGAAGAATGCATAGATGTTTAAGCTGTAAATCAATTTCTCTATATAAGCACATGTACACAAAGTGCTATATGGACTTCAATACATTGTGCATTAATAGTTGTAATAATTTACGGCTGAAAACAACATAAATGGTATACAATAGGAAGTCGGCTAGAAAAATTATAGCATGATCATACAATGGAATGCATTGCAGTAGCTCAAACTGCCCTTTCATATTGGTTTCGAGATATATTTAAGGAAATCAGGCTAGTCACAACACTTCATGTATATTATTTTACCATGTAAAAAATAATATGCATTATATAAATATACAAAATAACTCTGTTTTGAGATGGTGAATAATATTAATGAAGGGGAGAAATAGAGACAAAAGTAGAGACATCCCTCTGTGGAAGTAACCATAAGAAGAAGGTTAGCATTATGAGAGCAGAAGTTGGAGAATGTGGAATTGTGGTTGGCTTGGTTGAGATAGTCCGTGAGTGTGTCCAAGGGGCACGTGGAGGAGGCAGTGTGGAGGGAAAGCTGCAGTTAGAGTAGAATGGGGGGCGGGGATGCTGGGAGTAGCCCTGAAAAGAAGTAGGAGATGAGATGCAAAGTGTGGAGGGTGACTGTCTCATGAAAGAGGAAAGCAGA